CAGGACGGAAGTCTATCAACTCAGAGGAGAGACCAGGCCTCGGTTCAAGACTCGGAGCGCCCTGATATTTTTCTCGTGTTGTTGCTTATTTCTTATAGTAATTTGACCATGTTTACAATTGACCACCTATTCACAACGCTTGAACAGTGGAAAATACTTTCAGTTTCTGTGAGTGGATGTGATCATTTTATTTTACTTTTAATACATCCTGAAATAGTCCTGAAATCGTCCAGAAAGTCCTAAAATAGTCCTGAATTAATCCTAAATTAATCCCCGATAATACCACAATGGATGTCCAGCGGATGTATGTGGGACATAATGAGGCGCTCATGTCATAGTCCATAGGACGTCCTAGGATTACAATAGGACATCCTGTGGACGTCCCGTTTAGCCGGCAGGACGTCCACAGGATGTACATAAAACGTCCCTGTGTTATTAGGGTACTAATATTGCAGCAAGGTCTTCAACTAAAAAAGATGTCCAAAATTAGTCCATAACGCGTCCATAATAGGTCCAAAATTGGATGTGTTCGGATCCTATGGACGTACAAAGTTGTGACAAATGTACATCCTATGAACATCCGTAGGACGTTCGACGGACATAATTTGGACTTCCTATGGACGTCCCAATGTCCAGAAACGGATGTCCAATGGACGTACAATGGATGTCCTTATGCTATCTGGGACATTAACAATCAATGTAGAAAAATCAATAAAAATTTAACTTGTGATTCAATTTGTTCAATGTTGTTTCAACGTTGCAGCAACATTAACAATCAATGTGGAAAAATCAATAAAATTTCAACTTGTGATTCAATATATTCAATATTGTTTCAACGTTGCAACAACATTAATAATCAATGTGGAAGAATCAATATAAATACAACATTTATAATACATTGACACTTCAACATTCAACATTGCAATATCTCAACAACGTTATTTCAATATTCTGTGCTGTATGGGTAATTGTCTCACAATTAAAACAAAAAATTTAACAGAGTGGCACCCAGTTGGACACGGCTCAATTGAACACGAGCCACTCACAGCGCTTGAGACTACAAAGCTCCTAAGCACCGGTCACTGTGATTGGTGGTGTTCAATCGAGTCGTGATCAATCGGGATCACCCCGTTTGGAATAGAGAAAAAGCTGTTCTTAAATTAATCGTCGAGGCACAAAACTTTCGGAAATAGATTTTCTTATAAACGGAAAAATTCGTTTTTTATTTTTTGTATATAAATTTTTGTATAATAATATAGTCAAAACCTTGCTTTTTTTTTAGCTCGTAATCCTATTCTTATTAATTTAATTTTTTTTAAATTATTTTAATCTTCCCAGACAGCCATCTACGTTCTGACAACGTTAGAACGATATCGCAAACGTATGTTGAATATGTCAAGATATTCGAGACGCGTCTGTAATATACAGAATATTTCTTCAGAATCTACTATGTCCGCGGTTTCTCATCCAGTAGACTTCGCAGAGAACTCCTAGTGATATACCGTAGTTATTCTGAGATGTCTTCAATACGTCTTCAGTACGTCTCTACAGTATCCGCGTTATCATAGTGATGTCTCTAGTATGTCATGTATGCACGTACATACATACACACATACATACACATATATATAAAATTTCGCGCACACGCTTACATGCTGAACGAATTAAGTATTTGCACAGTGCAGTTGCTACTTTAAAATAGTAAATATTTTCAAAGAATCAAAATTCTTTAAAAATACTTCCTATTTTATCATATAGTAACAACTGCATTGTGCAAATACTTATAATTCATTCAGCATGCTCGATTCACTATGCTCGTGCTTAATCTTGTGGCTCACACGCCTGCACACCATGACACCTTCCTTTTCTTTTTCTTCAAAATTGATGGCACTCGCCGCAAAAATTGCGACGATTCCAGCCAGAATCGTAAATAAATTATGTAACCAACGTATGATACATCGGTCACCTCAAACCGGTGAATGGGACGAAATAATGATGTAATCGGTAATTATTCAGAATACCTCCCTCACCTCCGATTTCGATAAAATTAGGCTCATTCGACGCGTTTTTGCATGAAACGAAAGAATCTGGCAGAAAAAAGTGTCGCTCTGCCTCGCGAACCGAGATATTTAGCGTTAAAGTTGACGACTATGGAGGTTAGGAAATCTGTCATATCGACTATGTGTGATAAATTAAACGTATGCAGTAGTGCTTAGACAGTGTCCGCTTGGAATATTTGTAACCCATGTAGACAGTGGGATGTATAGACAGTAATGCTTGGGTTCGGGGCGGCGTAGCCGCCCCGAACAAAATATAAATATCATATCCTACCCGCTTGGGGCCTAACCGCCTAGAAGTTACATCGTAGACAGTGTCCGCTTGGAATATTTCTAACCCATGTAGACAGTGGGGTGTGAGAACGCGATCTTTCTACTATCTAGTTAAAAAGACTGTTTTCGCACACCCCTTCACTGTCTTCATGGGTTAGAAATATTCCAAGCGGACACTGTCTACGCTGTAACTTCTAGGCGGTTAGGCCCCAAGCGGGTAGGATATGATATTTACATTTTGTTCGGGGCGGCTACGCCGCCTCGAACCCAAGCATTACTGTCTATATATCCCACTGTCTACATGGGTTACAAATATTCCAAGCGGACACTGTCTAAGCACTACTGCATACGTTTAATTTATCACACATAGTCGGTATGACAGATTTCCTAACCTCCATAGTCGTCAACTTTAACGCTAAATATCTCGGTTCGCGAGGCAGAGCGACACTTTTTTCTGCCAGATTCTTTCGTTTCATGCAAAAACGCGTCGAATGAGCCTAATTTTATCGAAATCGGAGGTGAGGGAGGTATTCTGAATAATTACCATGTAATCAAGACAAATAATGTAACACAATGCACAGTCGAAGTCGGAAACACTTTTCAAAAAATGGGTGAGATGATGCGTACGTCCCGCTCGAGTGGTCTCGCGAAACTGACACCATGACTGCTATGACATGATGACATTGGAAGACATGACAGTATCAAGAATAATTTAGAGACGTATTGGGTATAATCGATATGATAGCAGTATATTCAGCATCAAAATCGAAATTTAGTTATTATAATTTGGGGGTGATCCCGATTGACCACAGGTGCGTTCCGTAACGCGCATGATGCATCCATTGTCCTTGTTTAACATTTGATGAGCAACAAGGATAAACGACGCATTATGCGCATCATGCGAGAAACGGAACGCACCCCACGTCTCGATTGGACACCACCAATCACAGCGACCGGTGCTTAGGAGCTTTGTAGTCTCAAGCGCTGTGAGTGGCTCGTGTCCAATTGAGCCGTGTCCAACTGGGTGCCACTCTAATAATTATTATATTTTTATAAACTTAAAATATTTTTTAATAAGAACAATAGAAGTATTTTTATAAAATAAGAAAGCTATTTAACTGAATTATTTACTATGAAAGTTGTAAATCTTTTTAAGAAATGAAGCTTATTATTATGTAGCTAATATATAGTGATTACTATTGGTATTGTTATTTATATATAAATATATATTATTATTTTTATTATCTTTTTTAATATAGTAAATGAAAAATTAATTTAGTAGGAATCCAAACAGTGCATGTCTAAAAGATATCTAAAAGACATTATAAAGAGATCTTCTCTAGACGATGTTAGGAAAAAATTTATATTTTAAAATAAAAAATAAGAAAACTGCGCTGGCAATTCAAGATGGATGCGCAATTGCGTTATGAAATTCACATTTTATATACAAGATGTCATGTCGAGAAGTTTTAGGAGTGTGTGTGCATATGGTGTGCGCGCGCGCGCGTGTCGTATACTATTAAATGGGATGGGCGATGCACAAGGAAAGCATCGATTCTATAATAATCGATTATGACCCAGTCCGATTTTTAATTAACCGATTCATCGTAGAAGACAACATCGATGTTGGAAAAATCGATCATTTAAGAAAAAACTGATGACTAAATTTTATTTTTTTTTTATTATTAATTTTTAGAAATATATTGAATTATAATTTTTAAAATTATTTTTATCACAAAATACAAAAAAAAATAGAGTACAATTCTATGTACCTCCACAGAAAAAAAAGTTTACTTGTTTCAAATAAACACATTTTCTTGAACTGTAATTTATTGATTCAAGAATTAATTACTTGCCACAATAAATTTGTTTTTTGTTCCAATAAAATATTATCCTGAAGCGCAAATAATTTATCAATGAAGAAAATATTTTATTCTAATAAAGACATAATTACTTGTCAGTAGAAAATTGTTTTATTAAATCTAACAAATGTCATTACTTGAATCTGATTGTTGTTAATAATAGAACATTTTTCTTAAATTTATGATGACTATTAGAAACCGTACATTGATTATTTTTTATAAAATATAATTTTTATTTCAGAAAGCAATTTCTTGGTTACCAAAAATATTTACTAGTAATGAGAAAATTGTTTCATAAATAAATTAAATGCCTGCTAGGGACTGCCTCTCTAGTCTCTAATAAATCTAGGAGTTAGGACTTGGATAGTTATATCTTTGGATAGATCAATGAGAGCCAACCATAATCGATATCATTAAAAAAAAGATCGATGTACCGATTAATCGAATTCTGAAACATCGAATCAAGCATCGATTGTTGAGTTGGAAAAACATCGATTTTTGTATAATCGACGAAGCATCGCCCATCCCTTAACACTATACATATTCTAACCTCAAATTTGCAATGCAAAGAAAGATCTACTCTCGGATCTACTAAGTACTAGGTACATAATTTTAACCTCCAACAACCGGTAAAAAGCAAGAATAAAAACAAGGGAAGAATCTACTTCTGGAAATTTGTGACGAATGTCTTAAATTTTAATATTAATGAAATCATTCATAGTGTAAGTCTTCAACGAATAACATCCTTTTACTCGTCTTCCACAATGAACGTGCTCATGCAGCGGTTATGCCATCTCCGGGGCGTGTATTCGGTGTTATTGAGAGGCTCTGACAATGGCAACTTCGCGCACTGGGTACACGGTGCTCTACCAAAGCATAAGTATAGCACTCCGAGCGTGGCATGTATCGATTCGGGAAAAACCCTGGGAGTACATACTACCACTCCTATCATCGACGACGAAAACGAGAACGAGGACAACAGTGGTCCAGAAAGAATACAAGAAAATGCATACGCTCACAATCTCTTCCTGAACTCGTGGAAGTATGAAAAGATCGTGATGCAGCCGAGCACGACATATGCTCATGTTACAAACAAGGAAGCACTGGAGATTCTGGAACAGGATTGGAATTTGATTTGGACGAACGTTGAAATAGTATCCGCCATTAAGAAACTGTCCTATAACTTTTCTCACAATAATGAGGAGAAAATCAAGTCATTCGAATATATGAAGGCTTTCAGCAATCTAAAAATAGAAAAGTTGACCAATGACGAACTGATGACTATAATGCGGCACCTGGTACTGTTCAACAATCATATGAGACACTGCAACTTCTACTCCAATCTCTGTATGCGGATAGACAGAGAGTGTATGAAGCGTTTCTTGAAGTTGCCAATAGAGCAGACATTATATCTCTGTGACATAATATATCAGATGACATGTAGGATTAACCGTTACTTTTCTCAATACATGTGGTATTCCATTAGGAATATAGGCAACAAACCTCAAAAACTTAGTCCTCAGCACCTGGTTCAGATTCTGTTTTTTCTTAACATACATCGGAAGCCACCTATAAATATGTACGAATTCGAGTATCATTTGGAACGATGCAAGGATGAATTGTCGATCAACGAGCTAGGTATAGCAGCGTTAGGTTTTTTCAAGACTAGCACGAAAATTAAAAGCGCAGATTTTCTGAATTATATCATCCAAAGGTCTGCAGCTGAAATAAATGAAGTGCATAGTGTGAGCATCGCAAGCATTATAAAATTAGTACGGTAAGATAAATTTGATGTGTTGAATATACACTGATTTGCAAATGTTGATTTCATCTTTAATACTCTACTTACAGATACAGCACAAATCTTACGGAGATGAAATCGCTTCTAGATTTATTGAAAATTTTGACACCATACGAGCCACATTACACGTTGTCATCTTTAACACATATCGCGCAAGCATGTGGAAGAACTGCTGTGTACAACAAAGAGCTCATGGACAGAATAATCACAAGGTAAATTTTATTTTTATATTTGCAGTCGCATTAATATTTGTGATAAGTGATGCTTATGATTGATCCAATTCCAGATTAAATAAGGAATTAAAGATTGCAAGGTTGAAGGATTTCGAAAGATTCATTTATACTTTTACTATGCTTGATATCAATTCGAGCGTCTACCAGAACGTAATCGAGGAATTGAGGACTACTTGGAATACTATTCGAGCATTCGAGATACAGAAGTAATTATCCAATAATAACATAATTTTTAAATAATATAATATATTATAGGACCGTACATGTGATAACACAAACTATAGAAAATCAAAGCCTTACACGATCTAGCTGGATCTTAATGCTTGTATGATTCTTATGTGAATTTATATACTACGTATGTAGTCCCACAGAAACACCTCCAACAGTCCCACCTGCCTCGGTAGTCTAAAGGCTCAGGACGCTCGCACGGTATGCAAGAGATCCGGGTTCTACTCCCGGCCGAGGTAATATTTTTCGCAATAAGAATTAATTATTTACAGATTTTAATATGTTATTCATCATTATTAAGATCGTTTCGAAGATGCGAATAAGCATAAAAAAATTTGTTAAAATTGCTAGTCAATTTAACTCGTGATATTACTGCGGTAGTTTAGTAGAGTTAGCGTTTCAAGACCGGAAATTTTTCGGCGCGCGTTTCTGTGGGACTACATACGTAGTATATAAATTCACATAAGAATCATACAAGCATTAAGATCCAGCTAGACCGTGTAAGGCTATAATTTTTAAAACTACATTATTTAAAAATCATATTCTTCTTTTTCTGCTTCTTAGAAAAAAAGAGTTGTTCCATTTTAAAGATATTTACAAGAGTTTCCCATGACAGGTTTCCATATGTAGCTTCACGTATTCTAGGATATTTGACAATAAAAAGTATATTTCCCATGGATTTAATCAGATACGTCATGGCACCTGAATTCGTGACTAAAACGTGCCATGGGAATTACCATTTTCTTTCGCGCGAATACCTCGTACTTGATTACAGTCTTCGAATAGAAGTACCCGAATACGATGGTCCATTTCTGAAACCTACTATAAGAAGTTTTCTAGAAAAGGTAAGCAAAGAAAAATCAATTATTTATGATCGAATTATTTGTCATATGTTGTATAAGTTCGACGAAAAATGATACTTATTAATAAATTTTATAATTACAGAAATATTACGACTTATGTCTGAACACTAACTCAAGCTCGACTAGGGCGAATATGCTTTTCTCGAACGTATTGGCAACATGTCAGGTACACACATATACTACCGCCTAAAAGCTAATCTTTTCCTTTACGTGTATATTATTTCATAAAGTATTCTTATCTTTAAATAGGAGTTGTTCAACAACACGACGGATATATCGATAATTCGTCCGTTACCATACTTTACACCACAGGACATTGTTTTATGTTTAAATGAACAAAATCAGCTTATGCCATCAGAGAAATACTTATCGCAATTTGAAGAAATTGATATTAAACGAGTGGACAAAGAGAATTCGAATAACGTCAGGTGGATTGCCCTCGTCATAGGACATCCTGGATTATTAATAAGGAATTGTCGAAATAAACCTACTGGAGCGTTAGCTGTAAAAATGAGACAGTTGTCTATAATTGGCTACAAGCCAGTCATGGTAAGTGTGTACGAAATAAATATATCAATATATAATAGGAACGCAGAAATGTATTATAAATACAAAAAGCTATTTTTCTGAATATTAAAGATATAAGTTTCAAGTTCAAAAAAAGTCGATCAATCAAATTCTATGTTGATGAAATTATGTTATAAGTTAAGCATTTTTTTCTTTTAATCATAATATTCAGTTATAATGCAAATACAGTGATGTACAATATAACTAATTATAATTAATGCTGACATTTTAGAATTAGTCTAACCATATTTTTAATTAAAGTGATTTAAATAATGAACTTTAATTATAGTAATACATGTAACGCAAGAAAGTTTTATTTTTTTTGCAGATATCATATATGACTTGGGACATACTTCAATCGCCGCGGGAAAAATGTGAATACATCAAAAGTCTTATTATTAAATAATATGTTAGAACTATTCAACATAACAATGTCTCAGAAGGACATCTTATACATTATTTATTAGAAAAAATATTTTTTGTAATATAAAATATTTCTTGGAATACATTGTTGATATATATACATTATTCTCTTATATTTACAGATATAGGCCGGTATTCATAGTCAGATCTTATATTCAAGACCGTCTTAAGTATAGTCTTAAGATGCCATGAACCAATCAGAGGGCCGCATTAGCGTCTTAAGACAATACTTAAGACGGTCTTGAAATAAGAATCGACTATGAATACCGACCATAGACATTGAAGTCGCTTGACGTATAATTTTAGAATACATAGTTCACAATAAATGCACATTTGTGTAGAATATTCGTAGGGTATCAGGTCACGTAAGAAAACGAAAATGTTGAAATCGATTTTAGAAATAATTGTATATAAGTTTCTTTGTGTATTCGACGGTGACAAACAATGTTGCAGTCGCTGGTACCGTTCTAATTAAAGTCGGTGTTAATCCATTATACAAAGCGCCCATACCTTCTTGCCGTGCGATATTCTTGAAAACTATCAAGGCGGGCATTTTCAAGTTCTGCACCTGGTTTTCAAGATATTTTGTTACAAGAGATAAAAAAATTCAGAAATAGACGCATCTTTTTAGTTCTTTGAAAACATACCTGTATTCTACTCTTAACAACGTCGGCTGGAAATATCGCTAGCCAGAGCATCGTACCTCCAACCGCGCCAGCCACCATCGTCTTTTGCCAGCCAATGTCATCCTTATTCTGACCCTTAGCAACTAATAACTCTCTCGTGGCTTCGTAGCCGCCGAAAAAGAAGAAATAGCCTGGCATTTCGCGAGCTATTGTCGAGGAGAGGCCTGTAAATAGGCCTCTTACACCATGTTCCCGAAGAACTTGCCTCGTCAAACTCCATGGTCCTATACGAGGTTTCTGAGAAGAATAATAGTGTCACTAAAAAATTGCCATCAAAATTTCTAAAACAAGATGAAACGTTATTTACCATGGATTTTCCCGTGGTAGTTGCCATCTGTTCGACTTCCCTCATAGCCTGTAACTTGCATTTTATTAACTCCGTCGGGCACAGCGTCAACGAGGAAAAGAATGCAGCGAAGAAGCCGGCCCAGGCGTTACTGAAAGAACTTAACTCTTTCACGCTCTGTACACCTGTAAAAAAAAAAAAGAAAAATAAAGCATATTATTTATTCATTAAAGCATAAATTATTTTAATTTACTTTAGTTAAGCATTGGTTTTTTAAAAAATAATTCATATTTATATATTAATTGTACTATCATAGTTCATGATTTACCTGATAAATGAGCGATCGCTTTTTGACATCCGCCGTAAGCCGCGAATAATACCGAGTTCTCGGCAACATTGGCGACTACCGCAGGGATTGTTCCAGCGTACAAACCTCTTGCGATACCGTCTGTTCTTAACGTACGGAGGAAACAATTCACCATATTTTTGTACATGGATGGGAAGGTTTGCATCTTTACTTTTACCGTGTCCAATGGTTGGCCCACATAAACGAGCGCTATACCACCTTTTAAATAAAAAAATAATAATATGCTTGTACATAGAAAATACAGAGACTCTCAATAGAATGTTTCAAAGCATTTTCACGAAATTATTATTCTACTGGCAATTAATGATAAGTAACTTGTCTGTTATACTTTTCACATTTAATAGAGAGGAAAAATTATTGAAAAATTATCGCAAAAGTACCATTAAATCATTATTCTAGTATGAACTCTAAACTTGTTTACGTAAATACTGAAGATATAATTAACATTGCAGTATTAATTTTTTCTAAGATTTGATCAATTTATCAATAAAAATGAACATTTCTTAATAATATTAATAAATTAAAAACAGCTGTAAATTCACAATATTCTTAGATTGCAACAGTTTATCAACAGCAAATTTCCGCGTAATTCATAATACAAAACAATTGGTTTTTGCTCTTCAATCATAGATCGCATAAGAACGCGACTAGTTGGAGTGATTTAGAAGTTGGATGCAATTGGATTTATCAGTCGGATATTTACGTGAAAGATAACGTTACAGAACAGATCGATATTATCGTTATCTTTCCATCGAATTTATTACAGATAAACGTGTTATTTATCTAAATATCAGAATATACAATTTTATGATAAACTGTAGATAGACATTAAGCAACTCAAGTCTTAAACTGACGTTATTTGTCATCATTTTGATTAAAACGTCATCAAAGCCCAAGATCAAAGCAGAACAACAAGTCACAATAACGTCAACATGACGTTAAAATGAATTGTAAATGATTAAAAAATGACTTTTAATAATTATTTTGGAATTGACATCCTTTTAATGTTGAGTTGTAATGAGACTTTTAATGATTATTTTGGAATTTGACATCCTTTTAATGTTGAGTTGACTTGTTTCTGATTGGGAGACGTCATTTTGACGTCAAAATGAGAAATAATGTCACTTTGTTATCTGGGAATGCAACCAAATGATTAATTTTAAATACATCGATAATGACCCATATTTTATACCTCTATTTGTTTATAAATATCGTAAATTTTAAAGTTAAATAGACCAAGTTTTTTTTTGCTAAGAAACGAAGTTTCCAGAAGTTTTCACTTTTTAAGCTTTTTAATTTTTCTATTCTTGTATTTTACAATTTTCTATCTTTACACAATTTTTTAAGCAATTTCTTTTTTTTTTAAGATCTTCGTAATTTTATTCTTCTCAAACTTAGGCCCAGTCAACGTAAAATTAACATTGATTTCGATTCATTTATTCTTTATCTTTTTCTAATTCTTAGAATTCTTAAAATTAGAAAAAAAAAGTAAGAGTTAAATCGATATTAAAGTTAATCTTACATTGGCAGAATCGAGACCGTCTCTACACACAAATTAATGCAGACTAAGTTTTAATCTCATTGTCAGTTCAACTTAAGCCTGTGGCACACGATGCGTGTTTCTTTGCTGGATTGCCTGCGTTTGGTAAATTACTAGAAATTCTGCGTTTTGAGGCTTGTTCTGATTTTCACCTGAATGCTCCTCGAATGTCATGCCATCCTTGTTTAACAAACATTCGATAAACAAAGACGAAAGGACATGGCATTCGGATGATCCAGAGAGCATCCAAATGGGAATCCGAACATGCCCCTGTGTAATGCAATTCTAGTAATTTACTAAACGCAATTCAGCAGAAAAATCATGCACGCATCGTGTGCCGCAGGCTTTATCCTCTATCTTTTTCTAATTCTTAGAACTACGAAAAAGATGAAGCTAAACAATTTAGCTCACGCAATGGCAACACAAAATATAATCAGTATCGTGGCCTCTAACGAGCATTAAGATTTTATAGATTACGATTCAATTTATTATACACACACATATATATATACATATATATATATATATATATATAAACTACATTGGCAAAAACAGGAATTAGAAATATTTCGCTGCGAGAGGAAAAATCATCTCAATAGAATATGATGTAACTTTGGTGCGCGTTCGAGTAAATTCCGATTATTTTGATCGACAATCGACTGTAATCGACTTGTCAGTCTGTACCAATTCATTACAACATAAATAATAGAACAATCGATCTTTTGTTTAATATATGGAAAGAACGATTTTAGCATAAGTAGATTCGTGAGTAAACAGAAAGATATAGATTATATAGAAAATTGCGCGGCGAGACAATTACCGAGTGAACCGGCCACGAAATCAATCGCGCCCTCCTTGACGCTTCCGCGGCAGTTTTCCGTCGGCACGTGGGGTACTTCCGTGTTGATTAGCCCGGCAACGCTGCCTGTCGTCATCGTGGTCATCGTCCGGACGAAAAATTCTTTCGTTGTGGCCATGTGCTTTTGTCCCGGGCGATAAAACAGATACAACCACCACAACCGCCTGCCAACCACACGCAACGGGCGATACTAGCGATTGAGCGTCTCGCGAGGCGTTATAAATATATATGTATATGAGTCTCTATAGAAAGAAGCTGATATCGTCGCCTTGTCGTTCACGTTGTCATTTTACGAGCAGGTCCGGCTTGAGAAATCGCTGGGCCTGTCAGAAATCCCTGAAAAGAAGAATTTCCGTCGCATTTCTCGCGACTTTTATTTTTATGCTTTTTGAACGAGAGAGAGAGAGAGAGAGAGAGAGAAAGAATTCTTGTGTTTAGACATATTAAACTATTAGAAACTGAAAATCTATAGTTTGTTACGTGCGCTACAGGTTTGTAGCATGCAATAGCAATGAATATTTTAAAACACAGCCAGTACACAAAACGAGGCTACTTTCCTTTTAGACGATAGCCAACATAAGCTAGAGTATCGTTCTATCTTTATTTGTATTGTTCACTGAATGTCATGATTGTCAAGAAGGAAACACATGGCAACGATGTTTGTGTCGACTGTGTATTCCTTAAAAGGAAAGCAATCTAAGTTCGGATCTACAATAGGTACTTTAAATCTTAAGAAATTAACCAACTACAGTCGAATTCGAGGAGAATAATCGACTATGATTTGTCCATTTCTTTTATGGCTTAAGATTTAAAACTCTATTGTAGATCCGGGGTAAAATGTTACAGCTGCAATAGAGGTCTGTTCTTTTCAGTTGAATTTGCAACCTTTTCCTCTTTTTTTTCCGTATTGAAAAGAGAAAGAGAGAAAATAAATGGTGCAAGAATTTTAGCTGAAAAGAACAGCCCACGGATTTATTGTTTTATTGTAATACAATTTAAGATAAAAGTTATAATTCTTAAACGGATTTGTAATAATTTATTAAACCGAGATTAAAATTAATCTATATTGATAAAAATAGGTATTATGGGGAAAGAAGTATTTTATCGAGTTTTTCAAGACGATGGACAAATGGAAAATTATCCGCTGGCGTCTCGAATGTTAATTTATTTCTTCTTTGTATTTTTATGCCTCCCTGGAGAGTAAACCTTTTGGTCAATACGATCAAATATACGAAATCCAGATTGGTTGTGCAATTTTAATTTGAATAATAATATTATGAAATAATATAATCACGCTAGTCCACGCTAGTCGTTAGATTATGAAAAAGTGAGAGAGAGAGAGAGAGAGGGAGAGGGAGAGAGAGAAATGCGAAGAATGCGAATGCCTGCCAAGAATGTCAGGATACGCGATACGCGGCGGTGGGTTGCCATGGAGACGCAGGGCGTCGTTGTGTCCCAACACCGGACGAGTAAAACATCCCCAGATGAACGTATCGCCCAAATCCCTAGACTGTTGGGCGATTTGGAGCAATTTCGAGAATTTATTCCGTCTCACGAAATTCCCGAATCCGCGATCGTTTCATGCGGAACGGTTTCGCGAGATCGGATTCGGCGTCGCGACGCGAGAATAAACCAAAAAAAAAAAAAAAGAAAAAAGAAATCGCCAAGGATCGCGACGCCTGGCTTACAGGCAGTTCCGCGGGGCTCCGACATTAGGCACGACGTCGCGACGACCGACGACATTCCAAAACATGAATTCGCCTCGCGGCCGCGATTGATATCCGACTTTTGTCTCTCTCTCTCTCTTTCTCCACTCTTTCTTCTTGTTTTCCTCTATTTTCTTCGTCTTTCACCCGAGGAAGCAGAAACGGAATTGAGACTAGCGGCGTCGCCGGAGTCGTCCGGAGACGCCGACCGACGCGACGGTTCCGTCGCCGTCGTTCGTAGTTGTTGAGTTACGAGAGTGGGCACCGAACCGAACGTTGCATTCGCAACGTTCAGCAACGTTTCACGTTCACGTTGTGGTGCGTTCAGCGTTGTGCGTACGCACACGCCGTGCGAGGTGCGAGTACCGAGCACACGCTAGAGGGAAAGTGTGTGCCGTAGATCGCGTCGCGTCGCACTGTGTCCGCTGTGTCCGCTGTGTCGTGCTGTGGCTGTACTGTTACTGTATCGTGCCTGCCGTCAGCCGTGCCGTGGCGATTCTTCCGAGCCTTCTCGTTCGGATACTGCCCAGCCATGATAGCTACCGCGAGCGCGTCTCCGTCGCGACGCGAGAGGCACGTCGCCGCGCCGCTCTAGCTTTAGGAGCTCGACCGACCGCAAGATGCGAGAGGTCCGTTCTCGGGAGAGCATCCTCACGGTAAGTAACGCGTCG